AGAAAATAATGAGAATTTTGAATTGATATGGTAAAAATTTGTGTATATTCATGTGTTCATTCTTTCATGTTGCCCTTATCAGAAATTGTTTAGCAATTGTGTGGCCGTAGTGAAACTCTGAAACTGAGAATGACCATCATTTTCCGTAAGCCGTTACAATTTTTGTGTTCACCAACAAGGCTACTTGTAAACAGACTGAAATGTAAACTTCACATTGCAAAATGATTATGAAGCAATCTCAAAACGAGAGGAAATCTGCGCTTCGAAGGAGGAACAAAAAGCGACTTTCAAATATTTTTTGAGTAATTCTCTATTTCCCTGATGTTCAAGCTGCTATGATAATATAAGCAACGAAATCAAAAATAAGAAAAAATTACAGATGACAAGAGTTGCGACCGGAAAAATGGGAGCGCAGCAAACATACCATTACAATCCGGTGCATACTAAATAGAACGTCCTTAGGTACCTCTCTACTTCATAAGGATCGGCTATTCAGATCGACCGATTCTTATAACGCTTACAAGCGTAATAAGAACCGGCCGAGGGTGCGCGACGGTTGCGTTGCGGTCCCTGTTGAGTACCGATTTGGCGCGATTCGCCTCTATCCCAGCTTTTCCTCCCTTTTTTCTTCCGATTTGGCTCGCTTTCTTTCTTCAGGTTGTGTCAGAGTTCTCAGAAGTCGTCAGCAAGTGTGCCGGAAAGATGAGGACGGAACCCCAGGCAAAATGGTATTTGACTGCAGCGCAGCAACACAACCGCCGCGCACTCTCGATCGGCCGATCCTTGTGAAGTATGGAGATACCCTTATTCAGTGCTGAAAAACTGTTTGTCCAAGTCCCGTACACTGATTCAGACATCATACTTTTTCTTCCATAATTCATGACATCCTTTTCACGGTGTGGTTTCGTTAACTATGCGCAAGTTAACAGAATCTAATCTTACATTAAAATAGTTGAGTTGCGACGAGCGTGCATTCATAGCCAAACTACCTTAGTAAAAAAATTTTCAATGTCTTTTGAGCCGGTATTTTTATTGAAAGATTAAGATATGAGCAAATCTAATCGTAACCATGTATCGCAAATGCATGGTAGCCCGAGTAGCATAAGGTAGGCTGTGGATTCCTATTTAAACTACCAGTAATGAATTATCGAAGAAGGGTTCTCATAGTTTAGGGAATAGATGAGAGGAGGTGAGTACATTTTGCACATTTGTAAATATGGAATGAATGCTTTACAGATAAAAGAAACCAAACGAATTTTTAACGAGATAATCAAAAATTAGGCTATAGCTAACACATAAAAAAGTTAGGATACAGAACTCACCTCGCTCCAAAATTCAATAGCATACGAGATAGTTCGCATTATGATAGCATGATTTCTGATGAGGAATCCGTCAAAATAGATTCTGTTCGTTTTCTCTCTTTGAGCGTACAGAAATGCAAACTATAATAAGAGGTTTGTATCATGAAAAATCAGTTCCTGATAAGGTGAAATGACGAGTCATATATCGGACTAACCTGACCGATGCTATTACTAATCATAAGCAAAAGGCTTCGCATCACGTTGTTCTTGAAATCTGGACAATTTTTCAAGTCGTCCGCGAGGCATTTTCTGGCACACTTTCCAAAAGAACCGGCTATTAAGTCACCACTGAGACCCAAGCTAGTAAACCTATCGCAGAGGTGATTAAATGAATGGAAAATAGAAGGGAAACGAATGTCAAAAACAGCCTACGCACTTTCCACCGTAAATATCTGATACCAAGATATCAAATTGTCGATGGTCGCCGTCTTCCGCCATGCGCATCATTTCATCCAAATCTAAAGAACTGCGCAAACCAAGTTTTACATTTCATACGAATAAAATAAGCTGAAAAGACACTAACAAAACACACCTACTTCTGAAGTCAGAAGATTTCCTAGCCCAAAAAAACAGCCTCCTCCTAAAGAGGAACCTCCGACCCGTTCATATTTGCCGTCACTATCCACCTATAATGTTAATAGACATAATAGATATATTGTAAATAAGCAAGTAAAAATTTTACCCTAAAAACAGATACTCCAGTACCAACATTGACAAGAAGATATGGGCAAATCACAGATGGACGTATGGTCTCAAAGTGATAGCGACAATTTTCGTTATGATGATCGTAAGTGAAAGATTCTGCTTCGATGTTTCGTATCAAAAAGTTTGTGCCGCGTACGAGGCAGTCCATTTCTTTGACCTTGTAAAGTCTGGAAATTGGGTCAGATAAAACCGTGGTCTACGTTATTGCTAGCAAGACCAAGCAATGAAGAAATGAATTGTGAAAAAAAGGAGAATGCCTACTGAATAAGCTTAGAAACATTAAAGAAATCCTAAAAAAGACCAACTCTAGTCTGAGTTTATCCACGATCAACTGCTCAAGGTGATGAGTAGAAGAGGTGCTTGCAAAGGTGGCCTTGTTAGTTGCGATGTGCCCATTCTAAATAACAAGCATATGAAGAGCTCAGCTTCCCTTGTTCCGATTAAAAAGCTGCTGACCACCGCAATGTAATCAAGAACAGCTTCAAAATCCTCGAGCCGGACTTGGATGCAATACAGTCGGAGCGCATGCTTTGCATCATGGATTAACTGAAATTTCTTTCTTTGTATTATTTGCTTCAGAAGAGTTGACACTCTGATCGCACTTTTTTCTCCGGCGTCGTTCTCTTCTTCGCAACAGTTGCTGTATAAGCAATTTTGACCACAGATTGCCCTGAAAAAGTCTTGAAAGTGGCTAAATATGAGCAGCTAAGACTCACAAACCTATGTCAAATGCAATTCTTTTTATAGTTGTCAAGTTCTTCAGAACAGTTTTGATAGACTGTGGGCTTGAAGTTGAGGAGGACATCCCCTAGACCAATTCCATTCAAGCAAGCATTCAATAATTTCGATCCCTTCATCAATTCGCAGAAATTTGTTGAGAAAATAAACAAAATAGGAACTATACAGTTGCAGAGAGAATGCTTGACCTGACCAATATTATACAAAACTTTACAACACTATCGTGAAAGAATGCAGGAGCAAGTTTAGTTAATCAAGAACTCGTATTCAAATGGATAAGTGCGCAATTTTCGATTGGCGCACGTTTGCATTTCATCAAGCAGTATCTTTTCGAGCCATGGTAGCATTAAAGATGTTATCGCAATGTGACTTACAAATGTTCAAGTAAATTTCTACCAATGAAGTCACATTATCGTATATATCGTACTGCATAATTCCTTCTTTCGGTGTTGAT